CTGAAATAATAGAATTCAAACAAATTGTAAATTGTGAAAAAAAATCAATGAAAATTCGAACAGTAAAACCATGCAGGAACTTCAAGGTCACTATTTAATTCTATTACAGAAAGACTTAAAAAGTATTGTTTAATGTGTCTTTCTATTACAGACTTAACAGATTAAACAATTCTTTTCAAGTTTTTCTGTAATAGAAAAACACATTCAACAACACTTTTAAGTGTTTCTGTAATAGAAAGACACATTCAACAACACTTTTAAGTGTTTCTGTAATAGAAAGACACATTCAACAACACTTTTAAGTGTTTCTGTAATAGAAAGACACATTCAACAACACTGTTAAGTTTTTCTGTAATAGAAAGACACATTCAACAACACTTTTAAGTGTTTCTGTAATAGAAAGACACATTCAACAACACTGTTAAGTTTTTCTGTAATAGAAAGACACATTCAACAACACTTTTAAGTGTTTCTGTAATAGAAAGACACATTCAACAACACTGTTAAGTTTTTCTGTAATAGAAAGACACATTCAACAACACTTTTGAGTGTTTCTGTAATAGAGTTATACAAGTACTTCACAAATTCATTTGTTTAAAATTTAAACAGTAGTGTTTAATGTGTCTCTCTATTACAGAAAAACTTAAAAAGAATTGTTTAATGTGTCTCAAATACTTGAATATAAAAAAAAAAATACAAGCACTTTAAACTTAAGATTGAAATGAAAATGTGTTATCCTCAAAAGCATTCTAAATTAAGTCTTACTACTCTGTAAAGTTTAGATCAGAAAAAGTTGCTGATTTACAAGCCTAAAATAAAATTTCTCCTTCTCTTTACTTAATATAAATTCACAATCAAAACTTTTATGTAGAGAATATACCGGAATGAAAAAAAAATCAAAGTCTAGCAATACTTCCAGAGTTTTTAAAGAACACTGCGACTCTTCAAACAAATGTCATCATCATGTCTTAACTTAACAGTTTTTACAAACTAGTTTATCTTTCTCACAAAACATTTGCTTGCAAGATGGACAAACAGTCAAGGTGTAAGCTTTTTGTGGCAACATGTTTGGAGGGGAATCTTGATAAAGTGGAAATGGTTTCATCTGTGATTGGTTTAAGCATTGTACAAAGTGAGCTCTTAATGTTCTTGTATCCCAGATAAGTTTTGAAGGATCTGTTCCATTAGCAATTGCCACCATAGAAGCTGCAGCAAAACATCCACAATCTGCATCATTCCGCTGTCTTTGGAACTGGCATAAATCCACAAAAACTTGACCCTTGCTATCTCTATCCACAATAGCAAAGATGGCTCTTTTAGTATCCCCCTGTAAATGTCGCTTCCAGCTATCAAATACTCTGACATTATTACGGGGACAACCTATATTAGATAGTGTTACCCAGTGTTGACCACTAACATTAATAATTTGTATAAATGGACTTTTTGGTTTTTTATATCCTTCTGCCAAAGCTACAGTAACTGGCTGAAGTCCATCAATATTAGGATGTTTATTTTTAACTAGATGCATGGCCAATTCGATCTCAATGTCTTCTAGCCAATACTCTGGTGTATTTATTTTCTCCCAGTTTTTCATAGCATTTTGTGATTTTGACTTCCTTACTGGAGCCTTTACTGGATTAAGATGTAGAGGTGTAGACTCAACACGTTTTATAGGTCTTTTCTGACCCATTAAAGCTACAGCCTGTTCCATTTTTGTTTTTTGGTCTGAATCAACTCTCAACCATCAAATGCATCATTCAGATACCAACCTATCAAAATATAAAAACAAATGCTCAATCAAATTTGAATCTAATGCTTTATCCTGTTAAATTTTTTATAATGTTTCGTAATTATAAAATAAATAATAATCATAATTATAGTGAGCATTTGTTTTTATATATACAACTAGGCACAGTGTGCAGGGGCGTAGCTACCTTCTTAATAAAGTGGAATCACAAACTAAAGGGCGAGGGGTTTGGGGCCGCCAAAGGCCCCCGGTAGGTCCAGGGCAGATCCCCCGGAAGCTCAGCATATATTGCTTTTCAAAACAATCACAACTGTAATAAAACTTGTACATTTTTGTTGTGGTTTTTGGGTCAACTATTTGTTTAATTTGAGCCGAATGAAGACTAAACATTGTCGTTTGCGTATTTAGTACGCCGTGCTAACTTATTATAATATTGAATGACCAAATAGTCCAGTAAAACGAGTTAGAATTAACAATTTATTTAAATACTTTTACATTCAACCATTTGTATAACCGGCCCATATAGAAACCACTTCTTATTATCGAATCTACACATGATGTTTTTTTTTGTAAAATAAATAAAAATGTAATACATGTACTGGAAAATGTGTACTTTTTTTATAATAACAGCAGTTCCAACTTCTCATCTACTAGTATACAGAAACTATTGATTGATTGAATGGTTATAAATGTCCGGTAGCAAATATTACATGCACACCAGGAGGAGAATACGTTGACGTGATGTGAAAATGAACTATTTGTGTTGTCAAGACCTTCATAGTTAGTCAATATTGAACTAGCTCACAAGATTACAGTCATTATTCCCAGATCAATATGAGTTGAAGAGTCTTCGTTATAGTAAGATGTGTGCTTTGGGACGAACCGGAAAATAATAATTTTCAAGTTTTTTTTGTTAACCCTAAAGAGATTATGTTTTTTTTTTTGCACTCAAGGCGAGTATACATTATGGTGGTGGTACTGAAAACTTATAACTGGTATTTTCTAAACAATGCCTGTAATATAAAAAGTTCAGCTAAGTTTACACCAGTTGTATGTATCTATCGTACAAATACATGACTTTGTCTTACAGGATTAAAAATTTTGCTGAATGTGTATTCCTCTGGCTTTTATTCTTTGTGTAGTTTTTAAAAAGCATACATAGAAAGACCAATTCCTATATGTTAACTTTGTCCCTCTCTCTCTCTCACTCTCTCTGTTTTTTTTTGTTTTTTTTTTTTTTGGTGAAAACGATGTGGGTGCACATGCTGTTGTGCCTCCGGGTAGCTACGCCCCAGATGTGATAGTATAGCTTATGTAAATGGTCTTTATCTGATGCTTGTATGTGCTGTATAGTAATATGTAGTGACTTGTTTAAAATATACTGAGTACAATGGTGTATACTGTTGAAATATTAGCTACTTTCAGCATGTTGAGAAAGCTATAGTTTTTATTTCATTTTCTTTTTCAGCAAAGTGTGTTTGGAAATATATTTTTAACATACAAAGTGTTACTTGAGGAACCGAGGACCTTTTTGGGAAATTTGGGATTGAGCTGTTTAATTTGCCGGAATTCAGGAATAGCCATTTATATTGCAGAGAATTCAAGAATTCAGAATTGAATCCTATTGTGATGCCGGATCGGCCATATCATTATCATGAGAATTCAGGGTTAGGCATTTATTTTCTCATTACTTAGGGATGATACCACCACCTACTCCAACCCTCGCCCCTCTTTTACCTATCATTAAGCTAATTTTAAAATTGCTTGTAAATTCTGGAAGCAACTGCATATTAGGATTAATTTTATTCCATTATTATTGCATTGCTGTTCAACAGATTTCAAATACCAGTTTGTATTATTGCAATGGTCAGTGCATCTTTTGCATAAGCCCTTATTATACAGATCCCTCCTTTTTCCATGGGCATTCAAGGTGCTATTTCAGTATTTTGCGAAACATGTGTTGTTCCATAGTTGCAAATTTGGTAAGTGAAAATTTATTTCACATAATACTCTTCAACAACAATTTTTATTATAAGTTATTTTCCAATGGCATTCTGCAGAAAGTAATGACTGAAGGTATGAAAATATGGTGTCTTTTTTCTTAGTGTGAAGGTATAACTTTTTGTAATGACACATGCAAGGCAAGGAAGTTAGAAATGCACTAAAGGCTCAATAGATGAAGAAATATATATATATAAAATTATATGGTCTTCCAAATACCTTTTCGATTCCTAACATCACTGAAGAGACATTAATTGTCGAAATCCGGATATGGTGTACCAATTTTTGCACCTTATGTTTGTGGTATACCATCTTTTCCGCAAGTTTGTTTTTTGTTTGGTATTAAGTTAATAATTAAGATCCATTTTGTTACATCTGGTGATCCTTTTATTTGGCAATCGCCATGGCAGTCAGCAGGGTTTAAGAACATCTGTTGTTCGACCTGCTAGTCAAATGCGTTTTGTTAAAATATACTTTTTCACTTTTTTTGGTCTTTTAGAAAATGTTGTTTGTGCTGTATTAGACCCCTCTACCAAGAAATATGTTTTGTATGCACACGTATAAAAATTGCGGTTTTTATCCAATGCAATCATAGGTTTGAGCGTTGTTGTCAATTTAGACTTGTTTATATATATATATATATATATATATACTTTATAAAGAGTGCCATGAAATACCAGTGGCAACTTTCAATTTATGGAATAGGTTAAGTCAAACATTATAAAAATTCTGAATTTCAGCCAGTTTTGATTGAAATGACCTTCCAAAGACTACTGTTTCTGTCAATGGTAGCATTTATTCCAAAAAGGAAAACCTCATGTGCATCACTCAAAACAACTGGACATTCTGGCATCCAATTGACCTTAGGTTCATTAAACATTCTATGAATAAAAGCAAAAGTAACTTTTTTTTCTGTCAGGTATCTGTGTCTGTTTAAGATCAGATATTTGCCTTAGTTTATTTCTTCATTTTTGTCCTCTATAGAATTTGAAATTAATAGCAGATCTACTGAATTGCATTGTTTATCTATACAAAACTTGTTTGCGCTGAGACATATAATAGAGAAAATTATGGTATGATGACATCCATTTGCCTTTTTTGCTTTTATTGTGACGTTGGATTGCATCCGAGTTGTTGTATAATTTTTTTTTCTTTTCATTAACTTTTATTTGGTTATTTTTTCCATGACCACCTTTTGGAGGGCAAGAACCTTACACATGAAATATTTATTTAAACTGTAAACAATACTGACCTCTCCTGCCCTGATATCCTGTAGGCTGTTGTGTATAATCTCTGTCTTGTCTACCACTACTTCTCTGTCTGTTTTGTTCTTCATCTTCAAATGCCTTCAAGAATCAAGTAAAATATAAACAAATCTACCATGTGTTAGAATTGAAAAGAAGATACCTATTAAATATCAGAAAATTTCCCTAATTTTTTCAAAAAAAATAATTTCAAATTTATACTTTATGAGACCTACTTCTTATGATCCGAGGAACAAAAAATTAAACAAATGAACAGCATACATTTGATAGTCACCATCTTTAATGTCAAAGTTTTAAGAAATACCAGATTAGCTTATGGAGAATCCAACTACAGTAGACTCCGGCAAATCGGATACCCAAAATGTCAGCTTAAAATATCCGATTATCCGATATATTCAATTAGACGATGAATGTATATTCATTGAATATTCTGCAATAATGAGTAGATCTAATCCTGAGATGTTATTAACCCTGACAATTGCTAAATATGTGAAAGGGCTGGAGGATTGATGGAGTGATTTTTATCAGTTACATCACCACGATGTTTTTTAAAAAGATTTCAGCTGATTACATAATGATTAAATTTGTTTGCAGTTTTTAAATCCTATATTTATTAAAATAAATTAAATGTCCTGAAAAATGTGAATTATTATCTACCCTCCATAGTTTGTGTCTTCATTTGTTTTGAAAACAAATTAATATCCATTATTTACATTATCACACAGGTAAACTAATTTGGCTATAAATAGATCAAAGCATGTTTGTGTAGAATCTCCAAACTAAAATCGTATTTGTTATAATTTGATTTCTTTGAATAATCAAATTTAAATTGATGAAAATAATCATGATTGATAAAATATAATTGTATAAAGTTTACATTTTCTGAAGACTATTTATATTTAGGTCATGGTTCTAGAGGCTTCCTCACAAATTTGTAAACAAACCAAAATGGCGGCCATGACATGTGGTTACTTTTGCACATGTGAAAAAAATATTTCTGACAAAAGTCAGATTTCTCTTGTCAAAAGGGATTTATATTTATATTGCAATAAATTATTCAGAAGGAGGTACATTCAGTTTACATTATATTTCTGATTGTGTGAGCATTTGAGTTTTATCAAAATTCTCCAAACAGCATCGTACTGCTCTTGTCAACTGACGAATCTTGTAAATTCAAACCATTTGAAGTAAAAGGGCATCTAATTCACATGATAAAGGAAGACAATGAATAAAGACAACAATTTATTAAGAAATAGTTCCTTTTTATTTAGTAAAAACGAAATCTTCTTGTCTGCAGGATTGTTAATTCGTAACTTCCGGGTTCATGTCCTGTCAGAAAAACATTGAAAATATCCGATTGTGCATGGTTTTGAACAAAATTACCTGAATATTTTTATCCGATTTGCCGATATATTCTTATATCCGATATTCGATTACCCGATGAAATTAACATTAAACATACAGGGAAGGGTTTGGTGTTTTGAAATAATATTACAATAGCCGATATATTCGTTTAGCCGATATCCGATTAGGTGGAGTCTACTGTATTTAAAAGATTAGTTTCTTAAATTAAAAAAAAAACCTGACCAATTAATGAATAACACAGTACTGTAGTTAAAGAGTTGCTGACGTCAATTGGCAATTTGACAGTCACAAATGCAGTTTTACTGGCAACTTGTAGCAGAAACAGTAAAAAGGATATTTGCGACCATCAAATCAAAGTTGACAGTGCCAACTATTTAACTACAATACTTTAGAGCTTGATAAAAAGTATAAATGTAAAATAAAATAAATTCTGCAAAACTTTATGAATAATTTTGGCGCACTCGGAGACATCATGGCTAAATGTGACTTCATACAGAGAACTTACAAGCTGAAGATTACTATGTTCCTTCTATGATTCAAATTTGGAACTTCACCAAAACAGTTTTTTTGAGGTAGGTGTTGTTTTATTTTCGATAATATTGTAGTAATTTGTTGATCCAAGCAATTCAAAATGGCTGGTCACTCCTTAATTATGGCATGTCAACTGTAGATTTGATGGTAACTTTTAGCCAATAAAAAAATTGCTACATAATAATTGCATTAGAATCATTGTTAATTACCTTTACTGTTTGGTGATCTTTATCATATAGTACAAATAACACCTCAGTAACATTAGAACTCGGGTTCTGACTGGCAAATTGTTCTACAGATGAATACATATGTGTGGCTACTAGGTCTCTAGGATATCCAAGTTTGCCTGTACCCATGGCAGGTAATGCTATAGATTTGCAACCATTACCATCTGCTTCTTGTAGACACCTGTCAATAAACTTCTCCAGTACCTTTACAACAAAAACAATATTTCAATTAGCACTACACAAGGTACAAAATGATCTAAAAAAAATTCCAATTGCAAATGACTTAGTCATTAGGCTTATTTAAACACACGTCACAAATTCAAGTGTACATGAAAGGTTGTTTTGGAAATAACTTTCATTAGGTATGATTGAAATCATAATCTTGGCATCATCTAAAACATATTGTTAGCAAAAATTTAAGGGTCTAAACAGAACAGCCCATATAACGTAAAGGTTTTTTTTCAATGTGGAATATTTCACTATAGTTAAATTAAGCTTGTCATTAGCAATTGAAAGGAAGCTTCAAATTTGGCAAATCCTTATACTCAAGAAGCCTAACTCTGAAACCACAAGAAATAAAAATAAGTAAAAGACAATTTTACCTGTAGGTTCCAATTCACAACATTTCTCAATTTCAAAGGATTTTGCCTTCGTTAATACAAAAGTGTTACTGTGGATTCATTTTTATTCGTGGTATACCAATTTTCGTGGGTTTCGTGGGTCACAGCGAACCACGAATTTAAGAATCAACGAAGAATAATCCCGAGAAATGTGTATGGAGTCGGATGTTTATTTCCGGTTATGTTATGCAGCTCTAGTATAGTGTTGACCAGCGATAAACATTGTAACATAACACGTGTTTTTATTGAAAGAAGATACAAGTATTTTGATTAAATCAATAATAAATATATCGAATATCAGTGATAATTTACTTTTTAAAATTGATTAAAAAGGTTCATGGGAAATAACTGCAAGTTGTTAATTACCGTGTCATAGTTTGGTTTACTGGTGATTAAAAATCAATAGGATTAAGTACGGGGATATTGCCCGTAGGTAATATTGTTTATGACAGGAACATTTATTTTCACACCTTTTACTTATATGACTGTTTATTATATCGTGATTAGGGAAATGAGCTTTCAATCATTGAGTTTTGAATGCCTTATAAAATTCCGACAAGAAATTATACATTGTAAAACAAACAAATAATTAGTTGTCTCTGTCCATTATTGTAATAGAAGTTTTCAATGAACACTTAAACCTAGAATGACCGAGAGAGGATTTTGACAATTCAAAACTTTTTCAATTAATTCCTTCTTCTTTGTTTGTTTTATTATTGATGAAACCAAGGAGGTTATATGATCTAAATTAAAAAGAAATCCACGAATTACGTATCTGAATTTTTTTTTTTTTGTAATCAGCGATCCACGAATTTACGTATGCCACGAAACGTCTTTTTTTCTCTATCCACGAAAATTGATACCCACGAAAATAAATGAATCCACAGTATACCATATTCAATTTGCACAACACAAGTTTTTGCAATAACTTCTATCAGGTATAATCTTCCATAAGTCTGGAAAGCCAAATATATATATATGTGAAGTATCTGTGAGCATAAAAATCATAAAAACTTGCTTTAATTGAAGATCCATCCTTCCTCCATTGATCAAGTGAGCCATGACAGACATAGCTACATGGTAAGTTATATCCTGATGTAACAGCTACTTCTCCATAGCCAACACCCTTTGGATAGTTCTGTAAACATTCGTCCTGTAGTGCCTGTCCTCCAACTTTAAGCAATGCAGCAGAAACTGCTCCTTGGTTGAGCTGTAAATCCTTTGAGGTGGTGTTAACAATAGCATCAACCTGAAATACAATAAGCAATATATAATCAAGAATTACTTTAATGATCATATCATAGCTTTTTGAGGTTACAGCAAAACTTTACAATATGAGACAAAGCTGTGAAAAGAGAAACCTGGTCATGGGCATATAGGAAGTACACTTATATTATAAGATGTCAAATATAAAAAAAGATCTTTCCAGAATAAAATGACCAGAAAATATTTTGATAGAATTGAAGTTTTGTATTATTGTGACTGTTTTCAATCTTCCTCCTTTTGTATAGACCTGCGATTCTATATATCATGACACATACACTACTCAACACATGTATCCTTTACAATAACTGGTTATCTTCATCAACTTTCAAAGATCTAGCACTTATTCTTTATTGTTTGGCTATAGCAGAAACTTGTGAATAAATAAAAGTTAAAAATCTTACTCTCATTTTTGATAGCTCTCCTTTGACAACTTTGATTTGTATATTCCCAGCAGAGATAGGGCCAGCCTGTCCTGAGAATCCATCTGAAAAGATAATTTTTTAACTGTAGCCTTAAACTAATTACATTTTTAATAAAATATTAAACAAATAATTGTGCAGTGTTACCTTCAATACAAAATAAGGAATAGTGGTATATATCATTGTCAATGAAACAACTATCCAACAGAGTCCAAATGAAGTGGATTTACACAATTATTGGTCACCTTATAGCCTTCAACAATGAGCAAAACCCATACCATATAGTCAGCTTTGAAAAGATCTGACATGACAAAATATATGACAATTCAAACAAGAAAAATAACAACAGCTTGATTTGTAACAAAACAATAAATGAAAAACAAATATGATAGACAGCAACCAAGGACAACCCCTTAATTACAGACTACTTAACTTGGGACAGGCACATACAGAATGTGGCTGGGTTAAACAATTTTGTGAGAGCTCAACCCTCCCCCATATATAAACCTTGGACATTTGCACAACAAACTGTAATAAACTGCTTCGCCGAGCGCAGCTGGATACGACCGCAGAGTTCCAACCCTGAACAGTTGGGGCAAAAATGGACACAATATTCAAGCTTGATACAGGTCTGAACTTGGATTGTAATTAAATATTTGACACATTATAGGTTTCTGACACAGAATAAATGTAGTCAAAGAACTTGAAATTGGTTGTATGATTTGAATTTATATTCAATTGAAGATTTCTTGCTGTTGTGCAATACACTATGCTGTTGCGCAATACCTAGTAAATCTGTTTTCAGACTATATACAAAGAATTAGCAAAATAAATTGTGACCCCCAATTTTGTTCTTTGGAAAATTGACAATTTCTAAAATCTTGAGGAAAAAAAAATTGAACCCCCCAAAAATATTTTTTTCCTCCCTCCAATTTTGAAGAAATTTTCTTTTTACAAAATGTGGTACAAATTAAGAGACATCCATACACTTAAACACAAGTTATTGTCTGAAAACTAGAAAAATGCTAGTTTTATACCCTTTTTGGCCCCTAATTCCTGAACTGTTTGGGCAGTTACCCCCAAAATGAATCCCAAACCTTCTACTTGTGGTATTGAACCTTTTGGTACAATTTCAGAGTAATCAAAATACTTATACACAAGTTATTGTCCTGAAACTAGAAAAATGCTTGTTTTGGCCCCTTTTTGGCCCCTATTTCCTAAACAGTTGGGACCATCACCCCCAAAAACAATCTCAACCTTCTTTTTGTGGTATTGAACCTTTTGGTTATATTTCATAGAGATCCATAAACTTAAACTAAAGCAGAGACATATATACACAGAGATTGGCAACTCCGTGAAATCCCGTTAAAAAACGCAGCCCGGAATGAGATTCTCGTCGATAATTATTCTACAACATGTAGACAAGTCAGGGATGAATAACCTCGATAGCTAATCAAGAAAAGTAATAGGAAAACTTATTTCAGATCAAATAAATTCTTTTTCTAAAAAACTACTTGAAATAGTTGTATTTTTTTTTAATGTATTTGATTGAGAAAATATTTTTTTCTTTTTTTCGGCATTTCTTTTAATTTAAAAAGTAAAATCTGGTAATGATCATATTACAAGAAACATTTCTTTGCTAAAGTTTGCTTCTAAATTACAGTGAAATTATGTGTGTCCGATTTTCCGGTCATTATTTCCTTAGAGTTGTGACTGTGGATTCACAGGTGTGCGATTACGCAATTTATTGCCCTCCGATCACCTGAATTTTGCCGGAGGTGAAGTTCTAAGTGGATTATTACTTGGTAATTGTTTTTACAACTAAACAAATTCTGACATTATTTTAACCATGACCAGAACTTTATTTTAACAGAAACACTGGGCTATACTATGAATAGGGTAAACGGACAGAAAGTCACAGTACAAAAAGTCACAGGACATAAAGTCACAAATTGGAGAGGACAAAAAGTCACAAATAATTTATTGACAATTGTTTGAATATATAAGAGAAAGATCTTCAAATAATATCTTTTTTTTACAATTATTCATTTTTTAAGTTCAGGAAATTGTTCATAAGCCTTGATAAATGAAAAATTATTAAATTTTAATCATGCAAATAATATATTTCTTGGCACCATGAAGCCATTTAAGTGCCAAACCACTTTGACATTTTGTTATCATAACAATTATTTGATCATCATTGATATTTATTGAATAAATTTTAATTACAAAGTTGCTTCATATATTATAGTTCAATAAAAAATCAAAAAAATATTTTTAAAATTAGTGTTTTCTTGTTCAGAGAAAAATAATCTCAAAACTGAATTGTGACTTTTCGTCCGTGACTTTTTGTCCGTGACTTTTTGTCCTGTGACTAACTGTCCTACATTCTACTATAGTATTCAATCAGGAACAAAATTAGTCATTTAACATGTCAAAAAAAGAAATCAGAAAGCAACTTTTTTATATAAAAAAAATAATGTAGCCAGTAGAATTTTGTCTCGTGGAAAAAGGATTTAAATGATTAATTTTTGATTGACCTACAATTACAGTAATTGTGGAACCTTTGCATGAATTTCCTAAATGAACGTACATTATGTAGTGTTGTCAAAATCACTATTTTTGCTGTCATGAAATATTGAATATGAATCTGTCATTATTTGTAGTTTTTTATAGACTTAATATCACAGACCCCGATTAAAAACGTGTATCATAAGTACAGTAAAATGCTCTGCTGAACTGTAGAATTTTAATGTTCTGTTTCATAGACCACAGAAGTACTGCAACATCCTTATCTTTACTCTTTCCTATCGGGTAGTGAAACTCAGTTTGAAATTAGAAAGATTTAAAATTGAAGACAAGTTTTATCTGATCTTTTGTGGGTTTATGTTTCGGTGCAGTGCTATGTGGGCTGTTATTTTCTTTTCATTTGTCATTTTTTTATCTGTGTTACATGACCTTGTACTTTTTGTATTGCCCCTTGACATCTCCTGCTTCTGTTTAAACCTTTACCACTAATATCTCATCTGGTTTAAATAAAATAGTGTCTCATTCCCGGAATTTGTTATACAGGAATTCATTTTAATATCAGTTTTTTTATAAGCATATAAACTGCTTGGTCTCTTCACACAATTTATGTTTAGGACGGAATGCATCAATAGGTACATACATGTACCAGGTCACCAATATATAAGCACACGTTATGTGCTTTTGACCTCCACAAGAATTCTTAAACATTCATAGATGTGCAAAGAATATTTTTGTCGTTGGGTTGTTGTCTCATTGACATATACCTCACATTTCTGAATAGTCATAGCAGCTGTGCCTTTTCAATTTATTGCAGAAAATATTTGCATTAACATTTTTCAAAATAGGCGAGGTGAAACAGTGATCACAGAATGAGGACATGTAAAACTGAAACAACACAACACAACAGATAAATATAAACAAGCACCATTGCTAAAGGACTGAAACAAACATAGATGATGACTAATATGAGTGACTAGTAGTGTACAAGTAGAGTGAACATTTCTTGCTTCTTATTCTACACATTTTGTCATTTCATGTAAACAATTAAATATGTTATTTTCCGAGGAGAGGAAGGAATTTGTGAAACGAAATATTTTGCCTTTAGTACTGTCAAGTTATATATTCACAGCAGTGTTGTTGAATAAATGAACATTTTCCCTTTTTTTACATTATGCTACCTTTATGCTACAAAGGTAGCATTTCTATTCTCATGATATACAAAGATATTGTAGAGTGGCCTTCCAATGATAGTCATACATGTAAATCATTGTCTCATTGGCAATCATACTACATCATCATATTGTTATACATGTATGTAAAAATTGTGTACATGTATACTTTGTAAACGTAAAGAAGACAAATGAAGTTGAACACAAGATATTTATTTGCATTTTTATCCAAATAGTCTCTGCACAACTGCCACTTCTGTTTCAAATTCAATAGATTGAATGTGGAGTCTTGTATTTATTCTTAGTTCAATGATGTCACCATCACTTGCACAAAAATCGCATACACATGTACATCAAGTTTGGCATATGAACTATGATATTTGAACTACAATAATGTGGTGTTTTCACAGTCAGGATAAGCACATGTCATTTTCTCTCTTACAAAACCATTTTTAGTATCACATTGATAGTAGTACATGTAATCGGTCCACTACATGACTGTGCAGTAACATTTGAAAAAAAGTCATCACTAATAGTTGTTCCTGTCTGCCAGGGAATCTTTTTTTCAATCAGAAAGGCTAGGGAGTCCTACATTCAGCACATGTATGATATTACATCTCTTGTATGCTGCACTGTTAGGTTAATTTGATCAACATCTTTGTTCTTTTATAACATGCAGGATCCTGTTAAAAAAAAATGCTGTCAGATACTGAATGTAAATATACATGTATATAAACTTGTAAATGTCATCAAAGTGGTGGAAATAATGAAAAAAACAATTTATATACACAAAACCGGTATGTCTTGGGAAAGTAATTCCTGTGATCAATGGTGATGGGTACATTTTTTCTTTAAAGATGGACAATTTTATAAACTGTAGCCATGGACAGGTGCCTGTCTTTATATTGAAGAGAATGAAAATGGCCGACAGCTTGAATGGTCATTTTTAATTGTAAATTGCATCAAAGCTGGTGAAAATATGGAAAAAACAACTGTTATACACAAATCCAGTATGTCATAAGAAAGTAATTCATGTGCTGGGAATAATTATTCTCTAAAGATGGAAAAGTTTATTGACTGTAGACATGGACAGGGGCCTGTCTTTATATTGAAGAGAATGAAAACGGCCGACAGCTTGAATGGTCATTTTTAATTGTAAATTGCATCAAAGCTGGTGAAAATATGGAAAAAACAACTTTTATACACAAATCCAGTATGTCATAAGAAAGTAATTCATGTGCTGGGAATAATTATTCTCTAAAGATGGAAAAGTTTATTGACTGTAGACATGGACAGGGGCCTGTCTTTATATTGAAGAGAATGAAAATGGCCGACAGCTTGAATGGTCATTTTTAATTGTAAATTGC